TGTCTATGTTTTCTTTGAGAATTAATAAAACCTCGGAGGAATGTTGGATGAGAATAATGTTAAACAAGACAGAGAGGAATGAAGATGATATTGAAATGGTGAAAAACAGAATGATGTTGTATAAAATAATATTTTATTTGACTTGTAAAGTTAATAATGGAGGTTTTATGTATTTAAAGGTTAACGGTGGTTTGTTTGTCCTCAAAATCAATAAAATTTGTTTTAAAATAAAAAAAATAAAAAATTTTTTTTACTACTGGTTCTGTGTGCGTGGCTTGGTGGGCATAGCTTGGCAGGCATGGGTTGGGGATGTGGCAGGGGAAGGATACTGTAAAATCTCCATTCCCTCCCCACTCCTGGGAGAAGATTATTGCAAAATCCCCATTCCCTCCCCACCCCACTAACCTGCTTCCCAGCTCCGTTCTCCTGTGCAGGGCAACAAAAGAAGACCCAGCTGATCAGCTGGGACTTGGGAGGCAGAGAATAGATGGGGGTGGGGCCAGTCAGAGGCGATATTTGCCGGTTCTCTGAACTACTCAAAATTTCTGCTACGGGTTTTCCAGAACTGCTCAGAACCTGCTGAACACTACCTCCGAATTCCACCATTGGCTACGATGTCATCACAGGCTTGAAGCCTTGAAGAAATGTTATGATTTAAATATTGAGTTCAGTCTTGGGAGTTCATGGCCACAAAAGATATTTAAAGGGGATTTGTGGTGAATAAAAGGTTGAGAACCACTGATATAGGCCATGACTGGAGAAGGGAACCAAGCCTGTTTTTTGTGTTTTTCTCAAAGTATATACTAAAATGATTGCTGAAAAATTGGCTCTAGTTCCACAGTATTTTTCAATGGAACATGAATATGGTATTGTAACTCCTAAAATAGGCTTTGTAAAGATTAAAACAAAAACAAAAATCTCAGACACATCTCCTCTAAATTAAGAAAGAAATTGCAAAATCCTAATTCTATTTATGTGTTTGCTGCAACCATGCCCATTTGTTGGGTGCATCTGGTGTCCTCATTGCAAGGCACAAGAAGAGATGTAAAACACACATACACACATACATCCACTTTTGTACTGAAGTTTCTAGTATTAGGTATCACAATAATTCATTAAGAGCATTGAAGATATCTGACACAGTACTTCTCCAAGCAGTAATACACTGAAATGAACTTGATTATGAAAGCACTATTGCACAGATCCATTTGTTTCATGTAGCTTTCAAAAAAGCTTCTCATTAGAATTTTCCATTGTGTGTATGCAGCAATGCACTGCATATGAACCACTACTAAAATGAGTTTTTTCAAGAATACTGATTTGGTCAGCAAGAGGCTCAGGATTTGAGCCTCAGAAAATACAGGGTAAAACTTGTCTCCAGCTTTGCAGTTCTTAAACTGCTCCAAAATTTAATTGTGTCTCCTGCATAGTCCTCCTTTTTTATTTCACAGAGGGTGGTTGTTGTTGTTGGAAGCTACACTTATTTATATAAATATGGATCCCCAGGGAAAATGAAAAGTAGTTGTACCTCCCTTACAAGGCTATCCTGTTGAAGGAATCCCTTCTGAGTTTTTATCTATCACTGCAGCCATTAGCTTTACAAAGGATTGTGTTACCCAAAGATAATTTCTTCAGCAACACTTTGGCATGTCAAGATAAGAAAGAATTTATCTGTTTTTATTTTTTGGATAGGTGGGTGAAGCTGGAGTTAGAAGGAAAGATTGTTTGGGCCAAACCATTGATGTGATAAAAAACACAAAGCAGATTTTTTAAAAAGACAAACTCACAAAATCCATCTAGTTGAATTGTTTTCTGATGTTTTCCCGTCCTTTCCCACTTGACACTTTGAAGTGATGGTTCTACTCAGAGATAACTTAAATCCTTTGGATTAACTTGGACTGCAGCAGCCCCAGCTTTAAGTAGAATTGCTACCAATGATCAGAATGTTGCCTAGAAAATGGCTCATATGTCTCTTAGCAAGGGGTGGTTAAGATCCGTTGTCGTAATTAGGCAGAGTTCTGAAATTCTTGGGTCATCCTTCCTTGCATCTTTAATAATCTGGTGTAGTAGAGGGAGGCTTGCTGTAATGCTGTATCTTGTATTCACATGAAAGTGCTTGCTATGCACTTTAAGGCTCTTGTCTTCACTCTTTGCTGTACAGAAATGGGACATAAATTTCTGCCACTAGGCAGCAGATTTAAAGTAGTTCAGCTCAGATAAGAATTTCATCAGAATGTTCTTTGAAGTAATCTGAAACAATCCTTGCTTGTGTATGCTGTTTATTTTTGCTGACATAATATTGTTGGCTGAGATATGTTTCATGTTTGATTATGTCGCTAGCTATTTTATTTGTCTGGTCTGCCATAAAACAACGGTGCCCTGTTGATTTATAGCATTTCATCTTACCCTTCTTTTAGGAAGCTGAAATGACAACCAAGCATTCCCCTCCTCCGCCCATTTCATCTCATGCAACAATACTGAATGTTCATGCTTTAGTTTGGCCAGCTTAAAAATGCTAACAGGATCAACTGGAGTAAGGAGTCTAATGAGATAGAAAATGTTTCTTTCATGACTGATATTTGATTTAGAAGGGAAGCAGCTATAATCATCATTATCCCTGACATGCTGCCAACTCCAGCTGATATTAATTGCTCCTTTAAGAAAAGACTGTCCATTATATATTATGTTAAATATATTTAATCTGGAGAAATCTTTGTTAGCATTAGAATAAGTACTGTGGGCTTCTTGTCTGAAGAGATATTTAATATGGAGCTCGTTGTACCTAATCTGATATTCTAATCATTGTACCATATCGACTGACTGTACTCCCAGGTTTACGAAATTATGGGTGTTGAAAGCTACACATCTGAAGGATATTGTTTAGGGGAAGGATTATTAAAACTGCCATTGCAATGTTTGATAAAAGCCAGTGAAATAAATGAGAGTTTTTGTCACATTCTTTGAAACCCTGACTTAATGAGATCTAGGGAAAGGCTTGTTATATTGTACTTCATCTTTGTTCATAAATTTTGGTCTTCCTTTTATAAAAGCTTAGCAAAGACATTTTGCTAACTAAGCAAATCAATACACTAATCCATATACAAAAAAAAGCCATTTGGTTAATTGAGTCTCTTTAATGGGACGACTATTCTTGACATTTCTTTTAGCATACACAAGGATTGTTCTTGCAACCGGATTGTTCTGAGATGCAAGTTCCACTCATGAAACTGTTCTTCTCAGTTATGATCTGTGATTCATTTTAATTCTTCCCTTGCTGTCCTTCTAAAAATCTATATTTTGATTCCACCATAAGTTGATTATTACCATTTGTTTCTCCTAGGAGAGTAATAAAGAATTATGAGCTGAATATAGCCCATGGAAGTTCTCTTTTAAGATGTTCCCCCAGATTCAAACTCTTCTTTTTGTCTTTCTGAAAAGGGGAGGAAATGCTCATTGAAAGACACACTGCAGTGTTTAAAGACTGCCTGAAGAATTTTGCTGCATCTTTGAAGGGTTCATGGCTCTCCAGGGCTTTGATGGATCTCTATAAAGAGTTGTCCCCTTTGTGCAGTATTTAAGTTTCAAAGCAGACTTTATGAACTCTAGTAGAGGATATCTTAATACCCAATTGCTGTGGTTTCTGAGAAAGGAGAAGAATTTAGGAGGGTTAAATGGGTGAATAGTTTATGTGTGAATAGAACATATGCAACCGTGGTTCTAAAGCCAAACCATTTCTCTGCTTTAGCTTAGCTCTGTTAGTGTTGGTCTAAGATACACACATTGTGGTGTGGTATTCCTAAAACATTTTATTTATTTAATTTATTTATTTATTTTGTTTGTCAAGCATGTATGAGAAAACAAGTTTTGGGGGTTTGAGAATGTAACAACAGAGTCAGATAGTGAGTTCCAGGCATTGACCACTCTGTTGCTGAAGTCGTATTTTCTGCAATCGAGTTTGGAGCGGTTTACTTTGAGTTTCTATCTATTGTTTGCCTGTGTATTATTGAGGTTGAAGCTGAAGTAGTAATTGACAGGTAGGACATTGTAGCAGACAATTTTGTGTACTAAGCTTAGATCAGACCATAGGTGGTGTAGTTCTAGGTTGTCCAGGTCCAAAATTTCAAGCCTGGTGGCATAAGGTATTCTATTATGAGCAGAGGAGACCATTTGAAACCAATTGTCTACCCTGACTTTGTATTTTGAAGTGAGCAGTGCAGGTTCTGTGTGATTGGCTCTATTTTGCTACCCAATAACATGTTGGTATTGATAAAAATAGAATGGTACTTTGGACTAAAGGGATGGACTTCATCCTCTCATCTTTCCATAAACCGACTATGGCAACCTTTTATTTTAAATCTTTTATAAAAAAGAGACCATGCCATTTAAAATGTACTTCATTTAAATCATGTAATGTATATAGTTGATTTACGCATGTCTGTAGTGTAAGTGAGGAGATATGAAAGGAATGCAAAACGAAAAGGTTTACAATTAGGCTGTAGGTCAATTTCTGCTGCTATTACAGTGTTTTTTGCTATAAAGTTGCAGACATGGCTTATTAGGAAATTTAGTTCTCTTGTTCACAAGCAGCGCCTCGGCAGGGTGATGCGGGGTTGTTCTTCCAACTGCTTCTCTGATTGTGCTTAGATCAAAGGAAATTGAGGCAGAGGGCTGCAATGGAGATGCAGCTTTCTTGGAAGTGCGAGTCCAACAGTTGGTGATAGAATTCATATTGAACCATGTGGACGAGATCTTCAGCGACAACGTTTGTATCAGGCCAAAGGATAATGAAGGTAAATCCTTCTATTTTCTTTTATGCTAGCAATGACCATTTCCAAATTATCTGACTTCTTTTGGCCAATAAACTTAGTTCTTCCCAGCACATAACCTACTTACATTACTTTTAGTATTTAGGTCTTGTGAGGTATTCATTCAAAACATCTGAATCCCAATTCTATTGAAAAAAGGAAACAGAAGAAGGAAATGAAGGGCATCTATATGAATATTATTTTAAAAAATAGTGGACTTTTTTGATGTGACTAATATAAAGCCTGACTAATAGTGGGCAAAAGTCTGCTACCTCAATTTTTTCAGATAGTCCTTGACTTACGACCAAAATTGAGGCCAAAATTTATGTTGCTTAGGTGAGAAAGTTGAGTTTTGCCCTATTTTATGACTTTTCTTGCCACATTTGTTAAGTGAATCACTGCAGTTGCTAAATTAGTAACAACATTGTTAAGTGAATCTGGCCTTCCCATTGACTTGTCAGAAGGTTCCAGAAGGGGATCACATGACCCAGGAACACTGCAGCTGTCGTAAATATGAACTGATTGTCAAGCATCTGAATGTAATTCACATGACCATGGGGATATTGCAACGGTCATAAGTGTGAAAAATGGTCATTAGTCACTTTTTTCAGTGCCATTGTACCTTTGAACGGTCACTAAATGAACTGTTGTAAGTTGAGGACTGCCTGTAATCTTTTTTTTTGTCCTTTAAGACTTTTTAAAATTGCTTTCAGAACCATTAGTAGGTTTGGGAAGATCCAACCTTTACCAAATCTTAATTTATGCACAAAAGGAAAAGGAAGAGCCTTGGTGGCACAGTGGTTAGAGTGCTGTAGTGCAGGCAACTTCTGCTGACTATCCAAGTAAAACTTTTTGAAACCCACCACTGCACCAGGCTCAAGGTTGACTCAGCCTTCCATCCTTCCGAGGTGGGTAAAATGAGGACCCAGATTGTTGGGGGCAATATGCTGACTCCGTAAAACCACTTAGAGAGGCTGTAAAGCACCATAAAGTGGTATATAAGTCTAAGTGCTATTGCTAATAAAGACATACAATCTTCATTTCACCTTGGAAAAAGTGTTGCAAAGATTCTCGTTCATTGAAGTCTGAATTATGGGGATCTAGGGAGAAGTCTCAGCTTTCATTGTTCTCTTTTGTTGCTCATTTCTCTTGATCTTGCAACCTGATTACTTGGAAAAGCAAAAAAAAAGGGGGGGGGAGCATGGAAAAGATAATTAAGAGTTGGGAGAATTTTATCCCCATCATTGACCTAATGTATGTTGTTACAGTTACTCATCACACCAAAAAGATACAGGAAAAGTCCTGAGATACTTGGTTTGAAATTTATCAGCTATCATAAATTGGCATTTTAATGGGCCGGTGGACACATTTGAATATTAGACAATATTGCCATCACTAAAATGATTGTCATGCAGTTTCTCCATCCACAAATTGATGCTAAGGTCAGGCATAAAATTTCCATTTAATAGAAGACAGTGAAATTGGTGAGGTTGCTCCTCCTGACATCACTACTGTCTCAAATGTCCTCTGACCCTTGATTATTTTGTCTTGTTCCTGAGCATGAGGGCATATTTCCAAATAAACCACCAAGTTCCAAACTCCACACTTATTTTTGCCTAGATCAGAAACCTTCTTGGGGAAAAGAAATGATATTAGCAGCTGACACCTTGATTTTTACTTTGTCAGTTTCTGACACATCAAGTTTTGGATTAAAAGAGTATTTTTTTTTTAAAGTGAAGTATGGCAAGGAATATGTGCCAAGAAAATTGTTTGCAAACACATTACTATCCATGGATGTTATATAACCCACCCTTGTGCTGTTTCACTAGCTAGAATAGCCATCATGCTGAAAAATCAATTTAGCCATTGTTCTGTCCCATAACAATCTTAAAAAAGAAAAAGGTGTAAATAGCATGGGTTCATGAGTTGCAGCTGCCGGGTGGACAGGCTGTTTTAAATTGTTCCTTTCTGGCAGCTAAGGGATTATTTTCACCACATATCATGAGTAGTACTCAAAAAGAGTTGCAGACCTGTTATAAGAATTTCCTAGGCTCCCTTATAAACTGTTCCATATAAATGGTGTACAACCTGATAAAGGTTTTCAGAAGAGATCATTTTCATGGTTTCTATATAATAATGTTTAAAAATATTTAAAATTAAATGCAAAGTCCACCAGTCAAATTATATAATAACAGAATCATAAGACTCCTCCACACTCTTTCCATTCAGGTATATTCTGTTTCACTTCTGTTTAATCTGGCTTTGTCCTCTATTTTATTATAAAGTGTGTTTGGAGGTGAGCTTTCTTTGCTATGGCTTTTCCAATAAATCAATCACACAGCTAATTAGAAGAAATGCTAAAGTGTCAATTTTGAAGCTGGGAAAGCTGCCTTTAACCATCGGGACTTTTTCTTTTTTTCCTTTGGAGTTCCAGAGCTGTAACTTCCTACTTCCTTCTGACAATAGCAGTCAGTGTTGAATAGGAAAAACAGCAACAATATTCAGAACAAATTTCCAAAATAATCTGGATGGGAGAGAAGTATTCCTTCATCTTCAAAACAAAAAAAAAAGAGCTTAGTCTTCCCAGAGTTTAGCACAAATAAACAACATCATTTTCAGACGATGCATGCCAAGGCACTGTGGAGCATGGCTGCTGACCAAGGGACTATTGGGGTGGAGGGTGCTGGATTACATTACTGGATAAGAAGTGAATTTCTTCAACAATCACATTTGCAAACAATTTCACTGGGAAAGTTTATTCATTAAAGGCAGTGCTTGAGAAATCTATTGGTTTTCTATTTCTCTCTGTCATTCCTACCTTCCATTCCATCCCAAATTAAGCTAGATTCTAATGCAGGGGTCCCCAGACTTGGCAACTTTAAGACTTGTGGACTTCAAGTCCCAGAATTCTGGAACTTGAAGTCCACAAGTCTTACAGTTGCCAAGTTTGGAGGCCTCTGTTCTAATGTGTTTTTCCTTCTGTTTTCCAGAGAATAAACCTGTGATGAAGAGCCTAACTTTACCTTCCACCTCTCTGCCAATGAAGCTGGTGAGCTTGGAAGAAGCTCAGGCCCGAAGCCTCTCAGCCTGTCACCCTGCCCGCAAGGAGCGAAGGGAGAACAGTTTGCCAGAAATTGTTCCAGCCACAGGCTCCTTTTATCATACTGTCCTTGATCTACCAGACAGCAAGCAAGTATTCCTTGTTTTAGTACCTGAAAACTGAACACCAAAGATAAATAGGGCCATGAAAGAGCATATAAGTTCAGTAAATAAATATCATCCAAGGGCCTACCATTGTCCAAATCTGTTGTGGCCTGTCTGGCCATCAGCTCCTCCGGCAGCCAAATCAGATAAGGAGGCAGCATGGGAGTCAGGGCCAGAATTAAGGCAATGTGAGAGCTTTGAGGAGGAAGGGGGAATGGAGCTGTCAGAGATAGAGACAAAGGTGGAGCCTGGGCCATCCATAAGCCCTCAGATAGAGAGTCAACAACCCCCAGGTCTGGAGGTGGCTGATGAGGAAGAGGAGGAACAGCTGGGTCCAGTGTCTGATGCACGGATGCACAGAAGGCAGAGAAGAGGAGAGCAGCAGGAATCTATGGGCTGGTCCTTGGGATGGAAGAGCCACCGCTGGTAGCGAAGCCCCACCCTAGCTCCGGGGATAAAAGGCAGGGGGCAGAGATGAATAGGTGTGGCAGACAACTATTCAACTCCCTGCGGGTCAGCTATGGATAGCCTGCACTTCTGAATCCTGCCTGGAAATTATCAGAATTCTTCTTGGAATCTGCTGAGCCTTCTGAGTGAGTGAGTGAGTGAGTGAGTGTGTGTGTGTGTGTATGTGTGTGTGTGTGTGTGTGTGTGTGTGTGCTGCTGCTGGGGAGCTTTCCACAGGATTTAGAGACTTCATTATCCTGCTGTGAAAGAGCGGCTGCTGGCATTCCTAATAAAGGAAACGTTTTGTTAAATGCAAAGGGATTGATGTGTTTGGGCCCTGGGTCAGAACAAACTCAGAATTCCCCAGTGTTCTGGCCCTGTGGACCAGTGGGGGAGGGAGAGGGGATGGTTCTATAAGAACGGCTGGCAAATGCACATGAACACAGCTCTTGCGCTCATGCAAATTAAGCCTATGTGCTTGCCTACTGCTCGCAGAAGTGAGGGTGTGCATACATGCACTCACCAGCTGTTTCCATCACCCGGTTGCAATTTCCTCACGGGCCACAGGTTGGGGTCCCCTGGTCTAACCTGTCTTCTTTGGTGCTCTGAGGCATCTTGTTAGATGCAATTGGTGTGCAGCCAATTTGGACCAACTATAACAATGTGCAGCCAAGCACTGTAAGAGAAACCTTTACCGATTTGATAGCTTCCATGAATAAGCGTAGTGCAATTTTGGGAGAAAGAACCATTTGGAGCCATGGTGACACAGTGGTTACAGTGCAATACTGCAGGCTACTTCTGCTGACTGCAGGTTGCCTGCAATTTGGCAGTTCAAATCTCACCAGGCTCAAGGCTGACTCAGCCTTCCAGCCTTCCGAGATCGGTAAAATGAGGACCCAGATTGTTGAGGGCAATATGCTGACTCTGTAAACCACTTAGAGAGGGCTGTAAAGCACTTAAAGTGGTATATAAGTCTAAGTGCTATTGCTGTTGCTATTTTCCCCAGCACTGTATAGATACATCAAAACTTGAAATATATGTTAAAAATATATTAACTTTTCCCCCTAATTCCTCAACATTGCTGTGAGAAGGATAACATTAAATTCCTGGTCAGCGTCAGTACCTTTAGTAGCAGGCAGACAGATGGATACAGGAATAGTTTTTCTGCTTTGCTTCATTTTAAATGTTTGGTCATCAGGAGTGAAACACAAAGTCTTGAGGCACCTGTGACGAGGCAGCCACCTACTGGTAACCTTCCCCAATTGCATCTGGAATATCTACCTCAATCGTCATTCTTTATTTGTGTAGCATATCCAATATTCTATATTTTACTCATGCATAGTTGGATACTGTTGAAAGATGTCAAAAGCTGTTATGCAAGACTTATATTATCCAGCCACAATGGAATCATCATCAGTACTTTGTAGATTGCAGTACTTAAATTGCTGTTGGCATATGGCATTTGATCATGTTCTCATAATATAAATTAGGGCCTGAATAGCCACATCTTTGTACGAGTAATAAATTCTGAATCTCTTGAAGCATTAGAATGAAGGGCAGGCCGTATCGAACTCAGAACCCTGAGGTCAAATGTTATTTTACCCATAATTTCGTTGGGTGGAGTTGGCCAGTCATTAAAGTCCATTTCCCACATCATACATAATATAACATATATAATTAGTGGGAAAGGGAAAGCAGTCATTTTCTGGGTCAAACTGTCTAGCCTCTTGGCTACTCCAATGGCAAGAGCCCTCTATGTTTCAAATCAAAGCCTTTGCACCATCTGCTATCTGTTCTTTTTTTAGCTGGAGATGCTCAAGTCTTTCTTGGCTACAACTGTGAAAAGCGATAAAATAAAATCTGAGAGGAAACGAAGACAAACAAAAGGGGACACATTAAAAACGTATTAATCTTAACTGTTAACCATTGTTACTTATTTACAGATCTTTGATTTTATCTTTCAGGAGAAAATTATCCACAAAGTCCAAGAAATGGAAGTCTATTTTTAATCTGGGCCGGTCAGGATCGGAAGCTAAGACTAAACTGAGCCGCAATGGAAGTGTGTTTGTTCGAGGACAAAAAATCCCTGGTAAAGACTCTCTATGGCCTTCATTAATATAGCTTCTCTTTTCTCCCTTAGCTTGGCCTTGGCCAACGGGGGGGTGGGGGGGGGGCACACATCCCAGCACTTTGCAAAAGATCATTCATGCTAATAAAGTAACAAGGATTAAAAGCCAGTATGAATGATGCTTGACAACAGCATGGGGGAAATTGCATATTTAACCTCTTGCATCATGCCAAGTATCACTTCAGCAGCACAATAAAAGGCAGTCATATCTCAAAGCCTATGAAATTCTTGCTGTGAACACTGTCTATTATTTTACTGTGTTGAACATGCATTTCTGAACTCGCTGAATGCATGCGCAGGCAGAGGTCAAATATGCGTCTGCCCAAGCTGTTACTAAGAATATGCCTATGCCAGTTGTTTTATTAAGGAGTCCCGGAACATGTGTCCATCTCATCTTGTCTGGGGTTTCTGATTAGAATCCTTATGAGATAATCAGTATCTTATTAAAGAAATGTACTGGCTCCCCTCCAACAATCCTTGTAGTGCAAAGAAGATACAATTACTATGTGTAGATTTTGATTTTTGAAAATATATATATTTATTACCAGATAAGTACCTTACATGAAGGACAGGTGTCCAAACAGTTGTCACAATGAGGAAAGACAAAGAAAATAATCCAGTCTTGATTAACAGCCCAACACTCTGCTTAGGGAGAAGATAGTGGGCTCCTTGAATAAAGAACAATGCACAATTATTCATTGTTTATGAATAAGCAACTCAGAAAATCCTTGCAAAAATCGTTATCTCTATTTTGGCAGATAAACATATTGAATCAAGCTTGCCTTTTTCACTGTGCTAAAAAGTTAAGAAAGCAGTGCACCTCTTATACCTTGCTAGCTGGTAAGGAAGCTTAGTTTTAGCTGTAAATTAAAGATCGAGCTGTATGTATTCTCAGGATATTAAATCTTTTTCTGCTTTGCAGCTGCAGTTATTAACAATTTTCATTTCTGTATAACTGCAGTGTGTCATTATATTTCAAACATTTTACATCCTTTCTTTCTGCAGAGAAAGCAACCATTCGACCAGCTAAAAGCATGGACTCACTTTGTTCACTTCCAGTAGAAGGTAAGGCTTGGTTAGTGTGTCAGATAAATGAAAAGCCAAAGATTTGCCCTTTCTTTGTGCATTTTTATAGCAGAAGCTGAATTTGTGTAATTTTCATGGACATTCTGGATATCTGTTTATATTAATCTGTTTATTTACTCAAAATGTTTTGTGGGGTTTGTTGCATGCAAATGCAGTCCTATTCATAGAATCAGTAGATTGGGAAAAATACCAAAAAGTACTTAGTACAGTCACTGGTCAGAGAGTGTGCTGTAGTAGCCACTTGCCTTTCCACATCATCTTTTCCTAGATGTCATAGTTCAAGAAAAAAAATGCCAAGGTTTTCACTATGATATGAGCTAGCAGTGTGCAGCTATGTGCAGTGTGCAGTAGCAGCCAAAAAAGCCAATACAATCCTTGATTGTATAAACAGAGGCATAGAATCAAAATCACATGAAGTATTGGTACCACTTTATAAAGCCTTAGTAAGGCCACACCTGGAATACTTCATTGGTCACCACATTACAAAAAAGATGTTGAGACTTTGGAAAAGAAGAGTAACTAAGATGATTAAAGGCCTGGAGACTAAAACACATGAAGAACAGTTGCAGGATTTGGGTTTGGCTAATCTATAGAAAAGAAGCAGTATTCCAGTATTTGAGGGGTTGCCACAAAGAGGAGGGGGGTCAACTTATTTTCCAAAGCACTAGAAGGCAGGACAAGAAACAATGGATGGAAACTAATCAAATAGAGAACTGGAATTAAGAAGGAACTTCCTAACAGTGAGGATAATTAGCCAGTGGAACAGATTGTTGTGGGTGCTTCATCACTGGAGATTTTAAAGAAGATACTGGACAATCACTTGTCTGAAACAGTATAGGGTCTCCTGCTTGAGCAGGGGGCTGGACTAGAAGACCTCCAAGATCCCTTCCAGTCCTATTCTGATTGACTATTTTATGGAATGTACAGTATAGGAATGGTCTCTCCACAGTAATCCATGCTTCGCAATCTCCTAGATTTCTGAGATACACTCTGTATGGAGCTGCTGTTGAAGATGGTTCAGAGTTTGGAATCTGTGCCAAAGGCAGATACAAACTTGTAAACTATAGTACTTCATTAATTCGAGGCCACTTAATATAAATTCTTAAGGAGCTGCACTAGTTGACTCTGATCAACCCCAATGCAGAGGATTAATTTTAATATATAAAGCTACAAATGGTTTAGGATTTGGTTAACTTCTAGGAATGCCTCTCCCTTTATTTTTGTTTCTGTAATGTTAAACTTCAGAAATAGCCTGCTTTAGGGATCATCCAATTACTAGAGGAAAGCTGGAGTCATAGGAATGCCAATCACAACTGTGGAACTTATTTTTCCTTAGAAATTAGATTGTTGCTAGTGTACTGCAATTTCGGGTCTTAGATGAAGGAATTCTTTTCTACCATGCCTTTTCATTGGTTTTTTTATTTAAAAAAAAATTGGACGAATGCCAAAATAGGCTGTTTGATCACTGATATTGGGTCTATTTTGATCAACATGGGAAAAAAGCTTGGCTATAAGAAATTATATTTAAAATTATAATCATGTCAGTTTTCTGCATTTTGTGCCATACAATCTAGAGACAAACCTTACTGTTATTGTTACTACTTCAGAAAAACGTTTTGTGGCAAGCAGTTGCTGTGCTGTGTATCACACTACTATCACTTACATCCAGGGGTGGGATTCAAAAATTTCAGCAACCAGTTCTCTGGCCGGTATCTGGGTGGTCGTGGTGTTTTTGCCCCCCTTGGGCTTTGGGGGCTTTCCTTGAGCCTCTGTAAGGGCAGAAACAGACACCCCCGGGCTCCAGAGGCCCTCGGAAGTTGTGGGAGCGCCATCACTTGGGACCTTCAAGAAGAGATTGGACTGCCATTTGTCAGAAATGGTGTAGGGTCTCCCGCCTGGGCGGGGGGTTGGACTAGATGACCTACAAGGTCCCTTCCAACTCTGATTATCTGAAAAAGTAATCTGGAAAAATCTTGAGGCCAGAAATGGGCATGTTTCTGGCCTTCTGGAGCCTCTGGGATGCCTGTTATTTATTTGTTTATTTGTTTATTTTGTCAAGTGGTTATAAGATAACAGGTATAAGTATAAACATAGTTATGAATACATGAAATGGATACATATAAGAAAAATAAAAAGGAACAATAGGACAGCACGCCCGCTTTTTGCCCACCTGGAGCCTCTGCGCAGGCCCTGTGCTTACCTGGCATCCAAAACGGGTCGCGTGGGGACTTCTGGGAGGGACGGGGGGGGGGGGGGGGGGCAGCCATGGGTGGGATTTACCAGTTCACCGAACCGGTAATTAAAAATGATAGAATTAGCTACCGGTTCACCCGAAGCAGCCCACCCCTGCTTATACCAACAAATATCTTAAGGTTATGGATAACTGCAGTTTATGGAGGTAAGGGGGAGGAATAGTGAGAGAGTTTTTTCATATTTCCACCTTAACAAATTCAGAGATGGAGATGGAGACAGAAAGAGTGAGGAAATGTTGCAAATATGGATCCAGAGAAAGGTTGAAGGAAAATATATATGCTTGTCTCCTTTTCTTCCCTATTTCACCACCTCCCAAGCTTTATATTTCATCCTGTCCATCTTTTAAAACAATTTTATGGTTGCTGCCTTCGGCTTAAAGATAGAGAATTGAGGAGGAAACAGAAAATACTCCTTTTACTCCAAGTTTTTCTATTACTGAATATCACCATTTCCAAAGAGACAGTAGATGGAATCCATGACTGGGATACAGAATACAGATTTGCAGATGCCAAAGCAGGTCATGATGACTGTTTTTGAAATTATAATTGTAAAGTGGGAAGTGCTTAGAAATAAATTCAACCAGTGGTCTGAAAGAAAATTGAATCATGTCTAACAAGCATTAAATCATTAAATCTTTTTAAATCAGCTTGAGTTGTTACCACTCTCAGTGAAGTATTTTACCGTAGGATTACAGCATTTGTGGGGTGGCACAAGTGATAACCACGCATCATAATTTTACAATGCAAATTTTGTCACTTGTGTTTGATACCTTGATGCAATTATGAAAGGCCAGAATTTGCATCATGATATTGCAACACATTTTCATCATTTTTCCTCATCATGGTGTGTACCAGGTACTGACACAAAAGACGTTCTGAACATTGGCTTTTGCTGGGCCATTATAAAGACGAAACAGACTTTTGAAGGGAATATTAACCTGCGTGCTCTAGAAGAAACAGAAAATACAATTTAAAAGTTCTATCTGGCCAAGTATTCAAACTAATCTAAGATGAATAACCATGGGTTATAGTCTTCAAATAACATCTAGATCTCCATTTTGATCCCAAGGTTCTGCCATGTTCTGTGATATTAATTTTACTCCAAAGGAGAAAAATAGCATCAATCTCTCCTTTATTAGTATCAATCTACCATTATTTTTTTCCTTTAATGCCCCTTTAGATTCTTCCTTCCCCTCTCCATAAATATGACGGGATCACAGCATCAGTAGATATGTGCCTGTGTCCCTTAAAGATTAAAACAAAAAAAAAAAAAAACAATAAATAAACAATGTATAATCCAGGCCAAAAAAAGATCGACCAGCTTTATTTTCTTCCTTCCTTCCTTAGGAGAGGATGAAAAAGGTCATTTCAAGCGCACAATCGTGACCGGAGGGTTTTTTGTTCCAGTGATGAAACAACGAGTGGGGGGACCTAGCAGCTCATTTGACCTCAACAAGCAAGACGCAGAGTGGGATCTCAAAGGTGCCATGAAAGGAGCGGAGGGAGGAGCAGAGGACAATGAAGAGAATCATAGTCCACGGCCAACCCAAATGAAACCCCTTCCTGAGCAACTGAAGGTATTCCGCCCCACTGAAGACCCTGAGAATGAACAAACTTCCCCAAAGATGTGCCGTATGTTCTACACTTCAAATGATGGGACATCCAATTTGGGATTCCATGGGACCCTATTTCCTCTGGAAGCCTCTCCCCGTCACCAACATAAAGCCTTGAATATCTCAGAACCCTTTGCTGTCTCGGTGCCCCTTCGAGTGTCTGCAGTCATCAGTATTAACAGTACACCTTGTCGGATGCCTGTTAAAGACAAATCAGCTTTCTCTGGCCTTCAAGAATCTTCTTTTCTGGGAAAAGAAAGTGCTATCTCTTCAGTCCCTGAAGGTGACAACCATGACCAGTTAGAGCATGTCACAGTCAAGGAAGAAAAGAAGACTGAGTCCAAATCCATAACAGGTAAGCTTAGAATAAGGATGGAGGTTCCAGGTGTTGAACAGCTTATGTCTATCCATGGCAAATGATCAAAAGAATGAGATTTGCAACCAAACAATATTTGGAAACAGTTGTGCACCCTGACTTAGAAAAAGCAGTAGTAATTTGTTCACAACAGAGACCCCCAACATGGTTAATAGTGAATATTTGAAATATTGAGAGCATGTAATGGATATTCTTGAAGAATATTTGCCACATGTGTTTCTTCACAACATTGCTTTTTTGGTGAGAGCATGCAATTGAAAAGTGCCAGTTTACCTGAATACCTATTGCTCTCTCTGTCTGCCCATTCTTTTTTTCTTTTTGCCAGTGAAGAAAGAAAAGCTTAGCTATATTATAGTGGTTTAAAAAAAACTAAAATTGGAAAAAGAAAAGCTAATTAACAGAAAAATACAATCCTTATAATTATCAATAGCAATTTAAAATTGATATAATCCTTCAAGCTTGTTAAATCACAAAGCAACACATTGTGACATCTCATTTTTATAATGTAGAACCCACCCACCCCCAAATAATAGATATCTTATATCCTGGCTCTGTTCTTTAAAATTAGAAAAGTAAGTGTTTTTTTTTCCCAGTTACATAAAATTGTTAAAAATATCCTGTGGAACAGAGTGCCTTTAGGAACACATGGGTGACTTTCTATTGGAGATCCCAGAGCCTGAGGATGTTATGAAAACCTTGCCTGCAGTGATACAGCTGGGGTGATCTTTTTATTTAGTTATTAAAGGAACAAAAGGGAAGTCTTAGTGGTAGGCTGAAATTAACTGTCAGACAAGTTATTACATGTACTTGGAAGAACAAAAGCAAGTTTTAGAAAGGATCAATTGAGGCAGGAAAGCACTTGGCAAGGCATAGCTTAGACTTCCTCAATTGCTTTCCTCTCTAAATCTCTTTTCATTAAAAATATAATAAAAAAAAAACAGAGTTCAGTATTTTATATACCTATTTTATATACCTAGATTTCATCTTAAATCAAATTATTGCACTATCCTGAACATCTAGAGCAGATGCTGGAAACATAGTGCCAGGGCATCTATTACATTCTAAAATATCTATACTGGTTCCCAAAATAAATGAAATTATATTTTTGAATAATTAAATGGCCAGTTTTCAGAGATTCTGGTATGAGATCTCATTCAATTCTAGACTTCTTTTCTAAATGTCACAAGAAGCCAACATGAGATTGCAAAGATAATGATCTCATAAAAATTTAGGCATTAAAATATTTCGGCCATAACTGAAGTTCTTATGATAGCATTTACAGCTTGAAACCACTGAAAACTCCATATATTTAGAGATGTTGGGATATGAAGGATCATGCTAAATAATATACTCTATATATGTAAAAGAACCCAGATTCACTAGTCTATGTGCCACTTCCAGATAGAGATGGTAATAATTATATATCTTTCAAAAAAACTTTCATCTTTCCGTCAGTGTGAAAACTTTGGAGGAGCAAGAATAATTATTGGCAAAATGTAGCTAGTTTCACATAATCTGTAAACTATTAGATTAAGGGCATATTTGTATATACTATAGAGAAGAAACTATGATTTACTACATATAACTATGATGCCAAACACACTTAGAGGGTATTGTTCATCTCACAGCTGTATAACAGTTCAGGCAGTTGACTTCAAACTGTCAGTCCTTAAGATAAACTCAAATTCAGAAGTGCATAAAAATTAAGATGGCTTCCATTCATAACCAGGATAAAAAATCATTTTCATTTTAAAAGCCAGACATCTCTCTCTCTCTCTCTCTCTCTCTCTCTCACACACACACACACACACACACACACGTGTGTGTGTGTGTGTGTGTGTGTGTGTGTCAGTGGTGGGATTCATTTTTTTTTACTACCGGTTCTGTGGGCGTGGCATATAAAAAATAACACAAACTAATAAAGAACAGAAACAGTCAAGAAATCAAAAAGAAAAAAGCAACAGTACAGAAACAATAAAAAATAGAAGATTCCAATTTATTTGCATCAAATAGCAATACAATTGCAAAATTTACCCTTGTTCTATTATTACAAAACAGCTCACTTTTTTCTATATTCAGGGTTTTCTCTAGTAATCAAAATCACAATTCATAAGTACATTTTTTTCTGTTTCTCTTAGTGAAATTTCAGATTTCTGAAGTCCATAATAGAAACCCTACTACTCACTGATTAACATGTCATTGCTGAAATATACAAACTTTTTCTGAAAATATGAGATGGTAGAAGAACAAAGTAAAAGAATGTATAATAAAATGAGTTTAAAAATTGGCTATAAGGTACAGATGAACTAATGGGAAAATATATGGTTGAAAGGACTGAAATTTACATTACATTCTAATCTTACACATCACTTTTTATAAAATGATGTAACATTTATATTTGTCAACAGAGAAAGGATCTAGAATATATAAAGGTTTTTCAAACCTTAGTTGGAAATGTGAACAACAAGAAGGGACATTTTATCATGTTTGGTGGATATGTAAGAAAGCCAAAACATTTTCAAATACATGGATGAATTCAGAAGATTTAAAAGGTTGAAGTACAACTGAAATCAGAAACTTTTCTTTTGGGAACTAATGGATAAGCAGCTGGAAAAAAAGTTGTGGAACTTTGTTTTTATATATGACAATTGCAATGAGATTATTTGTACTCAAAAAGTAGAAATGTTTGATACACGCTATAATGGAGAAGTGATTGGTGAATATTATGGAACTAGTGGAGATAGCTACATTCATCCTTTTGATTAGAGAAAAAAACTATGTCTACATTTTGGTTGACTAGAAGCCCCTAAGGACTTTTTGAGACAGCAAAAGAGACAGCAATGAGAGCTTTCTATAGCAATAGCACTTAGACTTATATACCACTTCACAGTGCTTTTACAGCCCTCTCTAAGCAGTTTACAGAGTCAGCATATTGCCCCCAACAATCTGGGTCCTCATTTTACCCACCTTGGAAGGATGGAAGGCTGAGTCAACCTTGAGCCTGGTGAGATTCGATCTGCCAAATTGCAGGCAGCCGGCAGTCAGCAGAAGTAGCCTGCAAAACTGCATTCTAACCACTGCGCCACCACGGCTCTATAGCTTTCAGCCCAGATAGGATTGCCCAGCAGTTCGAAGCTGCCATCTCAATATGATGCCTTTCAAAAACACCAGAACTATTGTCATGTGCATATCATATTGTCATATGATTTAGAATAACTTGACCTTTTAATTATAAGATTTCTTCATTTTCTTTTGATTGTTTTGTTTTCTTCTTTAAGATTTGTATATATGCTTTTTATTTTTTTTTATATAGATTCTACTATTGAGAAAATAGCCATTATTAGAGAGCTGGAGTCTGTAAGTATTCCTCAAGCAACAGTCAACACTCAGGAGACAAAGAGTGATGGCAACAACTGCAGCCAACCTTTAAAAGATAAGCTCCCCATGGAACAGAACCCACTGGTTATGATCCTTGCAAGTCAGCAGCTGACAGAGAAAGCTAGTCAAGACCAATTTGGAATTAAGGACATGTCAGAGCAAGTTTGCTGGCCAGCAGAGCTATCAACAGAAGATAAATCACATCTAAAAAAATTGGTAAGAAAGAGTATTGAAAGTCTTCTTTGGACATTATGTTGTTTGACCATTTGCTATTTTATGAAATAGGCACCAACTATTCTTTCCTCAAGTACCATTCTTGATACATTCTGTAATAATGGACATTTTTACACAGTGTATTCCAGATTTAAACATCTCCCAAACTGAATCAGGATGATTTGGACATAATAAATATGTAAATCAGAGCAGAATTCATTCAAAGTCAATTGATTTGATTCTGAACTATCTCTGACTTTCACTAATGATTGTGAGTTTCATACATTTACAAACACACTGCAATGTCTAAGAATGGATCCAAAGCTAATCTAAAAAAGTTTCCACAAAAAACAACAACAAAGCAGTCATGTTATTCAGAAAATTTTCAGGTTGCATGGATAGGCACATCTCTATTCCATTTGTAACTTTCTTCACGTTGGTTTAATTTTCATCTCAGAAAGGTAAATAAAATTTCTGAAAAAGGGCATTTAGTTCCACAAATAATTAAATTAGTCATTAGAGTGTCTTCCATATTACTGGTTGTTTTTTTTTACAAGAGCCTGAACCTTTTTTAAAAATAATTGAACTGCCTTCCTCTTCTAATAAATGTCAACAAATTTTCATCCAATTACTTGAATATTAAAAAAAAACCCACTACAGCTGTATCTTCATTTTTAGTAATAGCCAAAAGGATTCAAATTTCAGATCTCAAATTCAATTCAGTCCCCAAAAAGAATTGAGTCATTCTAAATAAACTAAACTAAAGCTATTTGGGGAAAAAAATCCAAGTTCTTTTTCACTCATCACTTACTAATAACTCCCAGTCTTACTTCCTTTGAGTCAAAAAACCCACAAATCTTTTTCCCCTTCTCCTTTGTCATTGTCAAATGTTAAAGTCCAATAATGCTGATCCCAAATGTATCGATGGAAAAGTAAAATTGGGATCAGAACTATCACTTTGGCGTGATGCTCAGGGTGATATTAATCTGATTTACAGGAATTTTTCCAATTTTGCAAATAAATTTATCACTACGAAACAACTAATTCATTCTATTTTCTCTGAATTGGATTTCTTTTGGGACTCTTTTCAAGATTATTTGGAAACTTCAGTTAAATTAAATAGAACTGCAACATTGGACTGCCTAGCATAAACCCTTGATTCCATTACATTGACTTTAGGTTCATTTCCAGGTTTAAGTCCCAAGCTTTCAAACTGATTTTTAAAGCATTGAATGGCTTGAAAACATATATTTTCAATGAAGAGCCTTACCCAATGTGTCTGTCAGCTTTCAAATTTGTCATCCAGGATTTTGGCCAAGCTGAGTGAGCTTGGTTAGCTACAAAGGAAAGGCCTTTTCTCTCTCTCTCCAGAGGCACAAATGACACACCCCCCCACTTAATTTACTATCAAAGTAAAAACATTCCTCTTTATTAAAAATGTAAAAATATCAATAATGTATATAATTTGTGTATTTATATATTTATATCTAGTGTAAAATATCTATAACTTGCAGTAAGTGAGCCCTATTAATTGAGCTACTTATTAATTGTATCCTGCTTCCTAATTTTACATTTTTAATAACAGCATAATCTGTCATGAAAATGCTAAGTTAGTGAGTGGATTTGAAGTAAAATCAATAATTGAAAAACTTTATATTAATCAACGTTCATAGCTGATTTTCAGATATTTATACTTGCCCTGAATTCTTCAGCCTATTGACCCCTTTCATGAAGCTTCAGATTGCTCATTGATCTCCAAACATGCATTATATGAAAATAATTTAATAAATACTACTTTATCGAATAGTACTATGAATAATAACAACAATGAAAATGGATAGTCCCAACCATCCGGGAGGAGTGGGTTAATATTCACCACTTTGAGGAACCCTGGCCTAACAGTTTTGTTTTTTTTCTCCTTCAAGTCAGCATTGACCCTTGGCAAGATTTCCGCAGTGACTTGCCATTGCCTTCTTCCTAGGACTAAGAGAGAGTGATTGGCCCTTAGCTGGCTTTGTATCCCTAATGCAAGATTAGAATTGGTGGCCTCCCAATTTCTAACCTTGTGTCTTACTACTACACTGATCTGGCTGTTTGACCTAACACTAGACTGAAATTATCCGGTTGGGAAGCTATGCTAGTTGGTATATTTCTGCGTTTGCCATAGTGTGATCCGTCCAAGAAAGCCCAGTAATAAAACGTTGCAAAATAGTGTTCCTATTCATAGATCATCTGCAAACTACTCCATTTTATTTCCCTGATCATTATTGGCATGATAACAGATAGTCAAGATTATGCACACATAGAAAATGTTTAGTCCTAGTTGGCCTGTTTCAAATTCCACTCCCTTTAAAAGTTTTTCTTTTCCTAAGGTTTGGATTTTTATTATTCTCCATGGAAAATAATCATCCTCAAAACTCAGCATTTGGCAAATTTTTTATAATGGTCAAATGGCAAATGCATGAAGTGAAAAATAGCTTGGGATAAATACCCATTCTTTTCACAATATTATACTGCATACTCCTCCACTGAAGTGAAATGCAGGAAGAAACATGATTGATAAAAGGCAACATTTGTTTTAACTACTAATTATTATCATTAAATATAATTATGGGAGAACTAGTTTGGTCTACTGACTCAGAGACCAGGCTAAAAACGATGAAAGTCAGATCAGTGACTTTGGGCCAGTCCTTTCTCTGAACCCACAATGTCAACCTCAGGTGACAACTGAGTCAATTTTTGTTGCAACCAGTGGATCAACACTCAGTTGAATTGAATAAAACTAGACCATGCACTTGTGGAAAAATGCTAGAAAGGAACTATGAAGATGGCAATCAATATAAGCAGTTTTAAAGGGGAATAGCTAATTCATGGTGCTATCAGTAGTTATCTGTAATTACTACTTTTGTTGGCAGCATATTGTTTCTAGAAGCTCTTAAAGTACCCAGCTGCTAGAGACCTACAGTTGAAAATGGTTGTCTTCCTGCTGTCATATCTGTGAGCTTCTGGATGCATCAGTTAGGTTACTTGTGACACAGAATGCTGGAATAAAAGGATTGTTGAATTGTTCAAAAAAGTCTCATTTATATGTTCTTAGCCTATTTCTAATTTCATACTTATCAAATTAGAACTATGTTAGGGTGTCACATTTTGGCATTATAATTGTCAGTCTCGATTTTCCCATTGACTTTGAGGGAGGGCCAGTTATGGAGTTTCAGATGGTATAAATCCAAATCCACTATAAAATATTATAGTTGATTGAAATAGTTTATTATTTTATTCCCACTGTATCATAGTTTTCAAATATGCGCCTCATTTTTAACATTTGGTTTCCAACAAAGCAGGATGGAAAAATAGCAAGATTTCTGTCTTCAGTGAAGAAAAATTTTATTTTAGCATTATTTATTTAATAGAATTTGAACGTATATGGTTTTTAATGGACGATCTGGAAGAACTTTTCATTCTTTCAATAGAATATATGTTTAGCTGTTATACTAAAACTTTTATGTAGTTGATTTTAAAAAGGGCCACAACTTATAAAAAGGAGTTATGTAATCTAGATGGTTTCTCTTTTTCAGGTGGTTGATGATCATTCCAGCACCGTGTGGCACGATATTCAACAAGAGCTGAAAATTGTTGAATCTGAGGAGGAGTTTTCCTGTACTGGAAGTTCTCTAAAGACAGAAGAACAACAACAACAGGAGTTTAAACCAAGTCTTACATCTATTGCTTCAGAAGCAAAGAGTTTAGTGTGTAGTTCTCTTCTGCTACCAACCCACTCCAAAGAGGAAAACCTAATCGGAGATCCATTGGCTATATCTGACATTCTTTCCAAAGAATCAAAAGATGTACAACTTTGCACCTCTGAGCCATTCAGAAAGCAGAATAGTATTTCCTTCACTTCAGTGAAGCTGCAAAATATTCCATGTTCAAAAAATTGCCTACAAGATGATAACACAAAAAATGACCTCCCATTTCAATCCTCAAACTGGAAGTTTCCAACAGAACTAAAAGAAAATGCAGCTTTTTCAACAGACAAGCCATCATATTCCAAAGAAAATAATTTAGATCAGCCAGAATGTGAAAGTAAGAATTGGCTTCTTCAAAAGGAGAAAAAAGTTGAAACAACAACCCAATTGGAAAAAAACAGTGACACATATTCAGAGAGAGATCTAACCAATTTGAAGATTCACTGTGGAATTGAAGTCCCATGGGTCAAAGAGGGCAGAATGAATGATCAAAACTCTTTTAATCAACAGGAGGAAGATACATGGAGTAACCATGTACATAGTTTAGAATTGCTAGAGCCATGGGAAGATCATCAGTGGGTTACCAGTCCCCTTCATTCTCCTACCTTGAAAGAAACTCAAGGGAAAGCACTTCAGGAGTTTCAGCCACAGAATCAAAGAATTGCCCAAAGCCATTTCAAGAAACCATGTTTCAGTCGTAGCTTTTCCTTAGACAGTAAAGAATTTTTGAAAGCTCACTGGGCTATAGAAATACCTTTAGCTAATGCAAATGAGGAACAATTTTGTGGTGACCTAGAACAAGGAATGAAGGAATATTCACCAGGACAGTGGAAAGAAAGTCTTCAGAAAGCTGAAGCCTGGCTGAAGTGTTTAAAGGAAACTTCAAACTCACATGAAACAAACATGAAATATCTAAGTCATGAAGCAGGCTTTGCGGCAATGGACTTGCCTTCTAGTCTTGAAGGATTGCCTAGTGTTGCCTGTAAAGCATTGGCTAAGAAGGAACTGCCTAAAGATGAAAAAAATCAAGAAAACATTAAGCTAGATTCCCCTTTGTCACAAATTAATACTGAGGTCAGTTTATTAAATTCAAACTGCACAGGAAAGCAGGCAACTAATATTCAACAGAATGACAGACCTGGAGTTCTTCTTACGAAAGGACCATGTTGTACTAAAGAGCTGCAGATCAATAAAGAAGACATTCCATGTAAAGGAAAGCCAAGGCCCTCTTCTCTCAATCTGGATTCTGTCCTTCCACTCACCAACCATTTTAATTTTGACAACTTGTCTTTCTCCTCCTCACCCAGGCACTTTCTTTGCGGGCAGAAAGAAGCTAAGTCTAGTGATTCTGCACCATCCCTTCCTGTTGCTTGTCCAAGTGAAAATAAAGCTGACCTTTGGGGATCACACTTTGATCCTCAAGACTTAGACTTAGAATACATAATGATGGCTCATGCTACCACTGGTCGTCGTAATTCTGCCCCTGTAAGTGTTTCAGCAGTAAGAACATCTTTCATGGTTAAGATGTGTCAGGCTCGAGCTGTGCCAGTAATTCCACCAAAGATTCAATATACCCAAGTTCCCCAGCCTTTGCAGGCACAAAACCCCAACTGCAGAATCTCACTGGAATCAGAGAATAAAGAAACAGAAGTCAAGAAAAGTCTAATCAAGCCAATTCAAAATGCTCAGGGTCAGATGCAACTTCCAAAGAGTCCACCACTCGATGGAATGGGAAAAGAAAACAACAGTACACTCACTTTGGATTCAGTTGCAACTAGAAAAGCTGAATCATCTTTTTCCAATCATAATACTACTCAGGATGCACCAGTTCTTCGGCGAAAGAGAACCTCTGAAGGAGAAACTACTGGAGATACTCCACAATCCTCAAAAATGGAAAGGCCATCTGGGGTTTCAAAGCCTTCTTATAGATCTAGACCAGGAAGACCTCAGAGCCTTATTCTATTTAGTCCTCCCTTTCCTATCATGGACCATCCCTCCTCTGCAGACTCTAGAGTATTGTTATCTCCAATAAGAAGCCCTGCACAGACCCCTTCTCCAAGTCCAATTTTGAATGATTTATTAGGGGCAGCCCCAGAGGGTGTCACTCTTCGTAACAAGATGACTATTCCAAAGAATGGCCAAAGACTAGAGACATCTACAAGTTGCTTTTACCAACCACAGAGGAGGTCTGTAATTCTGGATGGAAGAAGCAGGCGTCAGATAGAATAAGGTCTTTCAATATCTCTTCCCTGGTGGATGAGACGTATTGGTAACACTGAGAACTATGAATATGATGCTATTTTTGCTAAATGCTTATTACTAAAACAGTAATTGTTGATTTCAACAATCCTTAATTTTATACTTTGTCCAATTTAATAGATGACCTATCCCATAGGTGAAAGCAACATTTTACTGCAAGGAAAGGCAGGGGTAAAAGTTGTCTAGAAATGTATTCCTTTATAAGACACTTTCATGCTTCTGCTTCCCACCAATGGACACAAGTAATCTCAGCTAATATTCCTTTCCGTGATGTTGCTTATTGTCTTTCTATAATGTTGAAATGCTAAGTATTAGAGATTTCAGTCTAAGTACATATTCAAAACATCAGACCTGCTCCATGCATCTATATTTAGACCTACAAGGAGCATTGTCAAAAGAATAATGTACACACTGGGCACTCAAATAAGTGGTGAGAAGAAAGGATGATGTGTTTGAGTGAAACCTATTTTGATAAGCTATTATTATTAAAAAACACCAATTATATCTTACATTTCTCTAAATGGTTGATGTATTTTAATACTGATTATAGCCATACAATATAAAATATCTGCTCTGTCAATGATTGGAAGAGTTAGCGATGTAATAGTAGGGATTGAACCTGAGGTGGTATTCAGCAGGTTCTAACCAGTTCTGGAGAATTGGTAGCGGAAATTTTGAGTAGTTTGGAGAACCAGCAAATACCACCTTTGACTGCAGATTTTACAGTATCCTTCCCCTGCCATTATAAATCCCACCAAGCCACACCCACAGAACCAGTAGTAAAAAAATTAGAATCCCATCACTGGATTGAACCCATTCCAGATAATATTCATCTCTTCCAAAAGCACTAATTTTCTATCTTTGTACCAGTGTCAATTTTGATAGTTTCTAAATGAAGTGATAGGACAGTCATAATAAGCTTCAATCCATTTATTAGAACATTATAGTGTACTAATGTTTATTGAAGACATTATAATATGATTTTCTCTACACCAGTCCCAGTGTGGCTACTTTGCAAATGAGATTGAATTTAAGTTGCTACTCAACTTGCATCAATAAGTGGCACAAGGTAAATTTCAATTAGCAAATATATTCCAGCCCAAATGTCTGATTGCAAGTTATTAAATCAGAATTGAGGGCCTGAAGATCTGTCAAGAATGACTTACATGTGTTAGATTTTGTTTTCTCATTGACTCTCAATATCATAGTCTAGAACTACATTTTCACAAAACACAGTTGAACTAGAGCTAGGACAAAAAATATGTAGACAAATGACATTGTTGTGAATGTTGGTATACTTATAAGATACTGAAATGGCATGTATTGTAATTTTACTAATACTTATTTTGATACATGTACTTCTTTCTAGAATTCCAACTTTTATTTTGAGAATATGTTGCTTCACATAACAAAATGTGCACCTCTTACTTATGGAATCTATTATAAATCCCTGTTTTTTACTTTTCAATAAAATTTAAGTAAGGAAGTTTGAAATAATAGTGAAAGAGAATTGGCACTTTTAAAACATTGTGGTTCTCTGTTTATAATAGAGTAATCGGTGACACTGTCTTAATTTGCACATTGTTATTAACAAAACAACTGATTTTAATTGAAGATAATTTAATTGAAGAGAAATTCAGCTATTTAATTGAAGAGAAGTTCAGCTAAAGACAATTGGAATATTATGGATTTTTAAGATTCATTTTGAGAAAAAATCAGTTTCTCCATTTTGGGAAACATGTAACAAGAGGTTCTGCTTTTTGCATCCTTGAATTTGGTCAAAGTTTGGTATGCTGCTTATAAGAGTTGGGAAAGAAGGGAAAGAAAAAATAATGCCCAAGGACAGAAGGAAGGGGACTGTAGGCTGTCATTCATGGTGGAAGAAAGAATAGGTTAATGGAGTGAAGTAGAGTGTTGAATTAGAAGGAAAGCTGTTAGTACATTATACCATATCTGAGATAGCAAAAATAATTTACTTGCTCATTGAATTGTATCTAAAAAGAAAGAGAGGTTTGCAGTAGTTATCTGTGGGATGGTTTGTTCTTTTGCTTAAGTAATGCCTAGGATTTGCTTCAAGCAAGGTATATTGACTGCTTTCCTAGTGACAGATATATTTTCTAAAAGTGTGCTATAGAAATATATTAAAATACAGTATAATTAAGACCTAAGAAGCTGTCTGTAAACAGCAGTGCATCTCTGAATCTTGGACTAAGCCAGTGTTTAGAAATTAGGCTTGGTTGTAAACTCCTCTTGTGTAGCTTTCCCACACTTTTGATAGAGAAAGATCATTGATTGCTGTGACCGCTAACTGTGGAGTCTGTTCTTCCTGATTTCTTTTCCTACAATTGTTCTTAATATCAACACAGGACCTTACCAACTATTGCTAAGCTTATCTGAAACAGATCTCACTCAAAAAAAGTAAATCTTCTAATTATTGCATGGCAATGGTCACTGGGGTGATGGTGGTAAAGAATTGTTTTATGAGATGAGAGGTAGGTGCCTGTACATCACTTTGCAACCTTAGCACTGTTTTGCTTCAATTTCTTTTCAATTTCAATTCTTGGGTTTACACCCACACACAATTTCAGTTGAGATTGAGGAAATCATGGGCAAATCTTTAAAATGGATGGGATTCTTCTTCTATTGGCCTAACTTTGAGGGGTTTGGGGGCGGAGGAAAAGGTGATGGCTGCACTTGGTTTTTCAATGGCATGCTGAGAACAACACTCCAGAAGTTAGATCAAGGATAAAATAAACTAAAATTGATTTCATTTCATTCAAAAGTGACCTTGGTTAATGTTTCTTTTACATGTATTAAATGTAAAAATGTTCCTATGCATTTTATAGTTTTCTTCCTCCTTTCATAATAATAATTACAACTTGTTGGCAACTTTTGAAGGAACACATCCACCATAGTCAAAGCATTGTATGTCTGTAAGGTCTCAAGCTGTGCATCTTTCCTGTATATGAAAAATGCTCTATGCCATGTTAAATTGCTTATAACATTTTAACTGCAATTCTTTAAAATACAAGTATACTTTTTTCAAGATTTGTTTCTCATAATTTTATTAAAATAAAACCAATTTAAGTTGAGGATAAATCCTGTTCCTTCCTGTCCCTTCTCCTCCCTGAAGAAATTATGAATCAGTTATTCCTATTGCTTTCCATTTGAGAGGGGGAAACCAAGTCCATTAATGTGAGCTTTGTATGAATGTGTTGAATTTCATTTAATCATCATGATGAGTATTGTTTTCATGGAGTGCTGCTCCTCTATTTTAGTGCTTTCGTCACTTGGAAATTTAGCCAAGTCTCAACCATGAGATTAAACTGGAGTTTTTATTTAAAAAAAGCATATTTGTGTCTTAGTGTTGTTTTAATAATATACATAGTTACTGTGCTCTTGATGAGAACAAAAGATGTTTACCTTTGACACTTCTATTGCCATCGTTCTTACTTGATTAGCTAATCAGGGATGGAAAACCTGTGAACTTTCCAGATACTTCTGAAATTCAATTTCCAAAAGGCCCAGTTAATATCAAGTTCTGAGAAATATTGGTGAGGAATCTTTCAGCAATATGAAAGGCTATAATTTCTCCATGTTTAAATAGCCCCAAATATTAAGGATGCTCATCAACATCCCAGGTGTTATTATACAAGATCATTGACAACCGATTCTTTAAAGAAATTGAGAGAATGTACATTGTTATTTCATTCTCAGCTGAAAAATACTCTGGGGTAGATTTATACTTCAGGAAATTGATTGAACTACTCCGTGTAGATGGCTCATCTACCTGTGGGAAGCAGTCAGAATATTAGAGATCACCCTGCATCCTTTGTAACTAATCCAAAACTTACAAACAGACTTAAAATTCTTGCGGAACTTCAGTCTTTTTCATATCTAGTAGAAGAAAATCCAATCTTCTGTGTTTCCAAAGCAACTTGCATAAATGTAACATTACATCTGGTAGCAGCTGGATCTCATATTCTCTTATAAAGCATCTATCTTGACTGTCACCACAAGCTCATAACTCAAAGGGATTTAATTCTCTTACTATCATGCCTCCAGCTGCTTCCTTTCTATTTTTCAGAATCTAAATGCATTAATTGGGATCCTGTTCATGTCTTTAGATACATTAAAATGAAAGGCCATTTGCATGCATTTTGACTGATATACAACAGAATTTAGGATGCTTAGTCTAGTATTTTACTTTTAGTAATATATTTAGCATGGCTATATAATTAGGAAGTAATCTGGTTTGTGCTAGAATCAGATCTGGGCAATCTGCTAGTTCCCTGGATTTGATGGTATTCATGGCATCTTCCTTATGTGTGGATACACACAAAAAAAGACCTGATCTGGGAAATTGGTACTTTCACTATTATACTGAAGAAAGAATAATATTATCAGCTGCACATTGTCTTCTTCTTTGAGAAGGTGGGCAATGTTTTATTTAATATTTTAAGGGGAGGTGAAAAATTCCAATGAAAAGTCAGCAGTGCAGAGTTGCAAGGAGTGGATTTGGGTGTTTTTCTGCTAGGTCTTTTGGAGGAAATTGGGAGTGGGTCTTTATTTCTATAATATTGTAACTGTGAGGGCAAACTTATTGTTTTCATGTGTTTCTATGGCAGATGTTTAGTAATACAGATAGTCCTTGATTTATGACCACAACTGAGTCCCAAATTTCTGTTGCTAAGCAAGAGAGCTTTTAAGTGGGTTTTGCCCATTTTATGACCTTTCTTGCTACAGTTGTTAAGGGAATCTGGCTTCCCCATTGACTTTGCTTGACAGAAGGTCACAAAAGACAATCACACGACCCTGGAAGACTGCAACCATTATAAATACATGGCAGCTGCCAAGTGTTCAGATTTCAAATTTTGATCAGATGATGATGCGGATACTGCAATTGATGTAAATGTGAAAAACAGCCATAAGTCACTTTTTTCAGTGCCATTATAACTTTGAACTGTCACTAAATGAATAGTTGTATGTTGAGGACTATCTGTAGTAGCAAAAAGGTCCATTCCTCTTTAATACAAGTACAGTATAAAATGGACAAAGCTTCTCCTTTAATACATTGAAAACCTAGTAGGACATGTACAAAATAAGTGCTCAGGACTATATTCTTGCTCTCTCTAAAATAGTGAATGTTTACAGTACTACAATATTCAGAACAAATTTTAACTAACATCACTTAAAAAGAGCAAAATCTGGTTTATTACAGGTAGTCCTTGATTAACAACCATTGCATAGCAACCATTCAAAGTTATGATGGACTTCCCCGGAGCCTCCCCTCCACCTGCAAAGAGTTGATTCAAAACAGAACTAAATTTTTGGTCCCTAATCCATAATCATACACATACTATTGTTTTTGTTGATTGAATGTCAGTGATGCTGGTGGAGGAAGGAAATGCATCATATCCTTTTAGCTTTAGTGAAAGTGCAATCCAGAAATATTTAATTTTAGCAATAGGAAGATATGTTAGCACTTCAAAGCAAATACAGCAGCTGCTTAATAATAAGCCAAGGGATAAAATACAGAACCGGGGATCAAATAATATAGCTGAAGTTTTCTGAAAAAGGAGCATTTTCTGAAAGGCAAAAGCTGAAGCAAAGAAACAAAAAGCAGATGTTGAACTCATTTTCCACTGCTGAAAGAACTTGGAGAAAAAAAAAGCTTGTTTTAAAAATGTGGAAAGTTAAT